GTCAAAAACTTAAAAATAGAAAAATACTACTTGGTGGCAGTAGACATTCTGAGCATAGCATTTGAGAATAGAAATGTATCAGCATTTTAATTTCACTTCATTCGTCAAAACTGATATATAGCTGAATGAAGTTCACATTTGGATCCGACAGAAGTGAACAAATATTCACCTAGAACAACACAATCAAGAAACTTATTTAGAGTAACCCCACCAACACGGAAAATAGGACCATTTTCCTTTTCAAGCATTTACAACAAATTTCTATGTCAATAACCGACATCAGCTGCTAGTTGTAGGAACAGAGTAAAGAGAGAAAATGAGAAAAAGAAACTCAGATGTATCATTATGAAGTAAAACATTCATACCATCAATTCGAAGCTAATATATGTTATAAAATTGTGCATCTGAATAATATTTCTCCAATAAAGTTGAACACACCTAATACCGCAACTGATGTTCACGTCTAGTATGCATAAATTGACCCATATAAGGCAAACTTGATTTGACATTCTAGAATAGACTCAGTAAAACAAAGCAGGATTTCTTCATACAATCAACTGATATTTGAACTGAAGATAACGAAGCAAATCAAAGGCATGACAGTGGAAAAAAAGAGAGAAGAAACAGAAACACAGAAAATAAGGTGGAATAACTTACCAGTTTAAATTTTGAGAAGATCTGAGTTGCAGGAGACATATGCAAATTTAGAGTTGAAAGAGGTTGCTTAAAATGAGCGTTTTGAGGATACGGTATATGTAATTTGTGTTGTACAATACATACAACTACAAATCACTTTGCTTGATGTTCCTTTTCTGATAGCCCTTTTTTTTACCCTTTCTTTATCAAGTAGGATCAATGTTGGAATTGTGCTCCATAGTGTCAATGTTTGTGTTGCATCTGTGAAATAGATTCTATTGGATACAAAATTAGTGAAATAAGCTGAGAATAGAAGATTGAATTGTATCTGCAAAAGTGAAGCAACATAATTGGCTATTATGTAGTACTAACCTGCGTGTCAGTTCTCTTTCTTCTTCTGCAATAGAAATGACTTGTTGGCCGACACATTACCTGAAAGCATATTTTTGTTTGTTTTTGCCCTATTATGACAACAGAAAAATTGTTAGATATGTTTTTATGGCACGCTAAAGCTAGAGATGTAGAGTAAGAAGTTAGTACCAACTGATCAGCTGTAATGCCTGCAGATAAGTAGGATTTATGCATATTGTGGAGTTGAATCTAGTTTTAAGGATAAACTTGTACATACAAAATGATCGTGTAATAGTGTACATTGTAAAAGGGTGAGATTTCAGTAAAACAATGTAATGCACGCATACCTTGATAACCAAAGACTCCAATGTTCCTTCCAAGGATTACAGGGAAGTCTTTACCATTTTCCATTAGAGCTTCCAATTCGGTTCCTTCAATTTCTCTTGAGTCGTCCCATAAAGTGAGTAGAAATTGGTTTCGCCTGAAAGCAGGAGCAATACATTAACACCATTTTTTCTTGAATCTATCATAAGATTGTGTCAAAATTTGGAAACATAAATAGCAATGTATAACACGGAGGGAAGGTTCTACTTGCTGATCATCATCAATAGTAACCTCACGACACATATTTTGAGTGCAGCCAGTATATTTTGAAGGGCCACAATGGAGAACAACTCCTACAATATCTGGTAGAAATAAGGAGATATGAGGTCATTACATGTGGGACATAAATTTTAGCTAACTAATGGTTGGTAGGAGAGATATACCAATTTCTGCATTGGGACCTTGAGTCATATGAGCAATACTGGCAAAAGTTGTGGTATGTAGCTTGGTCGGTGGCAACAGTGGTTTCTCAAGCTCGTTATCTGGTTCGACATGTTCAATTAGAGGTTCTTTATCAAGCACCTAATAAAATTTATGTATTACTCTTCCGTACGAAGGTAGTGAAACTTTCACTTTGGCAGTAGAGATTAGATTTGTATCCAAAAGTATAAGCTTCTCTGCATAATAGTCAATATCATCACCATATGCAACTGCCCTGAGGATGAGCTGCAACAACAATGAGCGAGAGTACCTGTTCGTCTTCCAAAATCAGATTTTGGAATCGAGTTTTTTCCTCCAATCATAGTCGGTCTCGACTCATGTCCACAATTTGGACTTTGCAAGTCCAATCGAGAGTGTCAGTAGTTATTCCGTCAATATTCAATCTTGGTGCTATATGTATTTATCTTCACAATGAGAGCCACAACAGTTAGAGTTCTTTTGAAATCATAAACTCTCCATAATGGTAAGGCACAGATGCAAGGGTAAATTCTATAAATTTTTGAACTCTAGAATCTATGAGTGTATCGTTATAGAAGGGAAGAAAGTTCATTACAACATACCATCAAACACCTTTCGTACAATACAGAGCAGACACACTAACAATACTTACATGCAATAGAAACTAACAAATCAAAAAAATGAAAGCAAGAGCAAAAGACCGAAAAATATATTTAGTACTGCAAGTCTTCAAAGAAGTTGAAATATCAAAGAAGAAACAACAAAGCTGAAACATCAAAGAAGAAACAACAAAGAAGTGTGCATGAGCTGAACAAACAGAACAAAGTTCACTACAACATACCATCAAACACCTTTTGTACAATATTACATTCAATAGAAACTAACAAATCAAAAAATGAAAGCAAGAGCACAAGATCAAAAAATATAGTTAGTACCGCAATTCTTCAAAGAAGTTGAAATATGAAAGAAGAAACAACAAAGTTGGAACATCAAAGAAGAAACAACAAAGAAGTGTGTATGAGCAGAAGAAACAAAAGAGAAGATTCACAGAAGTACATTAAACAAAGAATTGTGCATGAGCAGAACAAATAAAAGAGAAGATTCATAGAAGTAAAAGGACCTAAAAGTTGTTACCATCAAATACCTTTTGTACATAATTTTTTTTAAAATAAAATTTAAATTATCTTTTTTACCCCAGTCCACCACCTCCT